ATTTCAGACAAAGTTGTAGAGAGAGCAGCACCCCCGGGATGTCTGTTCATGTTGATGTTGGTTGGTCCCACATGTGGCTGTGAGGCAGGGTGTTGGTCCCCAACAAGACTGTTCCGACGAGCCTACAGAGGCTGACCTGCAAGCAGGCAGAAACACAGGCCCCATGAAAATGGGCGAGTCATGACTTGTGTGTCCGAACTGGTCTGGGCAGAGTTAACATCTCTTCCTTTGGCTGCCTTTTAGCTTTTAGTGTTACATAGAGCAATCTTTCCTCTATCACAGATCCCTAACCCAGCTCAGCTTTGGGATGCAGACATTCTCTCACATCCCCTTATCACTCCAGGTACAAGGGGCTGTAGCTCATGGTGCCAGGCTGCTTGGCCTTGCATTCCTCCTTGGAAGCTGTGATCCTTGGTGACAGAACAATGTAGCCTTGAAGTCTTGATGTTCCCCTCTCCCCCGTAACCTCTTTTGCCCCGTTAATGCTTTCTTTGTACTGAGTGCATTAGATGTGTGCATGTAGGATAGTAAATAAAAGGGGCTGAGGGACGCTTCTCCATGTTGCCCTGTCAGAGCAAGCTAGCAGCCCCCCAGCCAGTTTTAGAATTCTTCTTGAGGTTCTATCTCTGCGCTCCCGAGGAAAAGAATATTCATACAATAGCAGGGAGGAGAGAGACAGTCACTTTCTCCTTATTCACCTCTGCCACCCCCATGAGTTTCAGAGTTCTTGTCTTGCCTCACAGAAAAGAATTTCAGGAGTTATTGAGCAGGGAAGTAGAACAGATTTTATTTGGAGGTTTTTGAAGGTAAGGGATGAGGGAGGGAAAGTGTGTGTGTGTGTGTGTGTGTGTGTGTGTGTGTGTGTGCAGGTGTGTGAGAGAGAGAGAGAAAGAGAGAGAAAGAGAGAGAGAAATAAGTTAAGGGACAGCTTGAGCTTCTCCAAGGGTGGAGAAAACCCCTACATACATCCCAGAATTAGGAGAGTACACATCTCAAGAGGGTAGATGCAGGTGACGCATGTGCTCGGGTGCCACATGTGCTTGGCCATGTGGGCACAAGCAGCACATGGGCTCTAGCAGCATATGCAGGCCCTGCCTTTGTCGAAAGTGTATTTTATAGGGGTCTTCCAAGCCGCCCCCACATGGGGCTTTCTAACTAGATAAAAGTCCAGTGTTAGGGTTGTTGCTCCGTAGGTAGAGTAAGAAGTGATCATCTTTGAAAGTCCCTTTCTTTTTTGTATTTTTCATAGTTTTATTTATTTTTCTTCTTATGTTTATTTATTGAATCACAGTGGGAAAAGTTACTAAGCTTTCAGGTTTAAGTCTCGGTCATACAATGATCAAACACCTCTCCCTTTACCAGTACTCATTTTTCACCCCCAAGAACCCCAATATACCCCCCTCCCACCCTCCCAATGCCTGTGAGGCAGATGATTTCCACTTAACTCTTCCCTACATTGATTACATTCATTATTTTTACAAAAGATGGACCATTATTGTTTAGAATTTCCCCCCTCCCCCAACAATCAGAATTGCTGAAAAGGCACTGTGAAATACTTTGTTTTCTGTAGCTGGTTATGAGAATCATATAATGATTTTGAATTTCTGCAAAGAGCCAGATAATTACGAGATTGGTTTCCGTACATCTGGTGTTATGGCTGTACTGGAGAGCCACTCGTGGGGGGCAACTCATGACCTCGGTAGGGTGTGAAGGACGAGCCGGTACCGCCCCCCTTCCCATGAGACTGCAGTTGCCCCGTCACCACTGGCTTTCCTATAAGCTCTGAGGCAACAGCCATCTTGATGCGGGGGGGGGGGGGGCGGGAGTTGGGGGGGAGGTGGGGAAAAGGCGGAAGGGAGCAACACCCTTTCCCTCCTGGGGAGGCATGGCGCCGGAGTTTAATGCATGGTCCATTTGCTTTTCTGCCGCAAGCTGCCGGGCTCTGGATTAAGTCCTTTTGCCTCTGGAGCCATGGCGATGCCGGAGAGCCGCTTGTGGGAGGCAACTAGTGACCTCAGTAGGGAGTGAAGGATGAGACAGTACCATCCCCCTTCCCATAAGACTGCAGTTGCCCCATCACCGCTGGCTCATACCTGGCTTTCCAATAAGCTCTGAGGCGGCAGCCACCTTGTATGAGGTCCAGATGCATTGCTGCCAAAAGCCGCTGGGTTTTGAGATTTGTTTCTGAGTCTCTGGGTTCATGGCCATTAAGCAGATTGATCCGGAGCCAGAGAGGCCATTTGTAGGCGGCAACTCAGGGTCTCGCTGGGATAAAGAGGAAAGGGCTGGTTCCACCCCCATCTGGTGAGGCCCCGCGTGTCTCGTCAATGCAGGTCCAAACCTGACCATCCAGTGACCTCTGGAGGATGGCAGTCACTAGGCCACCAAGGGGAACAGGCCAAGGCACGAAACCTATTCCCATCTGAAGTGGCCCAGCCCCAGTAACCTACTGCAGTAACAGGACTCATTTCTGCCAGAAGCCTTTGAGTTCCGAGTTTCGTTTCTGAGTCTCTAGGATCATGGCCGTTAAGCAGTTCGATCAGGAACCAAAGAAGCCATGCCTCCAATTATATAGCTGAACCAGAGGTGATTTGTGGGTGTGTCTCCCACATACCTAAATTATGTCTGTTTACTTTCTTGGTAAACTTTGCCCCAAGTTTTTGGGGTCTGGCCAAAGGCACAGCAGCAATTTTGGGATATCTGAAAGTCTGACAGTGCCATCAGGCTGCTGATGCACTCACCTCACAGGTACAGATTGACCTGTTGGTGGCACCATACCCCCGAAAGTCCTATTCTTGACCTTTGTTCCTGCTGGGTATTCTCTTGGAGGGTGGGTCTAGTCTTCTCTAGTCTGGGCTATCTAAGGATTAATCAGATTAAAAGAAGGAATAGAGGGTTCTCTAGTAATTTACTTCAGGCCCTTTCTATAGAGATGGGTCCAGACTCCTCGGTCAGCTGCTGGAGAAGATCCTATCAGGTCTTGCTTTTTGTATCCACGAGGTGGGTCAGACTTAGAACCAGCGGCTTTTACTACCCAGAAATTTCATTGCCATGATGGGAATGGGGGGAGCCCTTTCCGAACCTCCCTGCCTACATCACTGGCAGGCCTTGAATGAGGGCTCCATGGGAGTCCCCTAGATGTGGGCCGTAAGTGTGGGAGGGTTGTCTGATTCAGACTGAATCCAGGTGGAGAGTGTGGGGGCAAAAGGATCTGGAATCCATGGCGCAGGGCAGCACCCCCAGGGCATGGGCAACCTGCACATGGGTACACAGGCACACAGGGTTAGCTGGGGGTTGGGGCTGATTCCTGGGCATGGAGACTACAGATGTTTCAGGTGCTGCTGGAACAGCTTCCACACACACCTGTGGGGTGTCAGGGCAGCCCCGTGTGGACACCAGGCTCAAACGCGCGTGCAACTGTGCTCACTCTGCCCTTCACTCGCAAACCCCCATCCGCAAGGCCCCTCAGTGAGGACTCAGATAGTCCCCAGGGTCGACTGTCCTGTCCCTCCTGATGACCTGGCCATTCTGTATCTACCAGACCCTGCTAAAGGGGTGCCTGTCCCCGCACACACTGCCTTTGGACATAGGTTGGTGCTTGGATTCTCTGTGGCAAAATCAAGTCACTAGGTAATTTTTAATTTTTCTTTTATGGGGGTGGTTTTCTATACCTTGCTCTGTGCTTGGTTTTCTATCTATACCTTGCTCCTAAAGGGTTCCTGGGACCATTTGTGATTTCACACACTTGAATAGGGTCGGCCAGTACAAGGCAAGACTCTATCCCACGGCATTATCTCTGGGCCCCTTGTCTTCATTTCAAAGACAAAAAGATGGGGCTGCATACTCCCAACTTTCATTCAACCATGATCCAGCTCACGGACACAGCCAAATGTCCCACCCCTATCGCACACCCCAGACGAAGAAAGAAGGTGACATGGAAGTGCAGGAATGGCGTTTTATTGGGGAAAGGGGAGTAGAGCAGGGAGACGCAGTCCCAACTGTAAGGGTTTTCCGGCGGGCTCAGACTTTGATTCCCTCTGGGAGTGGCAGCACCTTAACAGAGAGAGATGCCAACCAGGGATCCTGGTCAAGACTCTGGAACCAGTCTGCAAGGAGAATCAGTAGTTAGAGCATGGCTGACTCTGGCTTCATCCCGGCACCAATGGAAGAACCTCATGACCTTACCACAACCTCAGACCCCACCGCAGGAAGCTCACCAGTCGGGGGCAGCACCTCGCTCATCCCCAACCTCTGTCTTCAGACTCCAACCTGGACTCCAAGATGAATTTGATCTGCTCAGAGGAAATCAACAACAGCAAACCTCATTCTCCACCATCAGTGACTGCCACTCTTCATGCTCTTCTTGACAGGGATACCTCAAATACGCTGCCACCATTGTATCCTTGATTGTCTGTAAAGTGGACACATGAGGGTGCCCTTCCAAAGGGGTGTTTGAGAGGCTCCAATGAGATGATTGTCCAAGAACTGAACCAGGGGCTTTTTCCACCCGGATGTGGGACCTTCACTGACCCCACTGCTTTAATCCCAGCAACTTGGCACCCCCAACCCTTCCTAGAGACCCACGAACCCATGAGCACCCTAGTGTGTGGAGAAGCCCAGCTCCTCCTCAGAAGGAAATGAAGGGTGAGTTTGGAGCATCACTTCTTCCAGAGATGCCCTTCTGCTGCTTCTAATACATTTCTCAGCAAGGAGCAGCCCTTTCATGCAGGAGAAAAATAGGGGCAAACGGTTATGTCACAGGCCACGTAGGTGCTTGGCCGAAAATTTAGGATTAGCATCTCCATCCAGTCCATCTTCTATCATGGGTCACTCTGTCCGGTCACTTCAGCAATAAGAGACAATAGAAGAGAGGTCTCCAGGCCCCCAGAACCCACTCAGTCCCTTAGAATCTCAGGACAGAAGGTCCTTCTTCCTCTCCAGGGACACTGGGCCTGGGAAGGGCACAGGAAGCAGCTTCCCCAGGCTGAGGTTCCACTTACCTAGGATGTTCTTGATGATGACACCAACTTGGGAGTCGATCAGCAGGTTAACCACAGGGCATACCTGGTGTGGGGGAGAGGAAGGCAAGTGAGTGTCCGCTGGGCACATATGTAGACGCTCTTTCCAAGGTCTCTCAGGGCTTTTGATCATTAGGACTCACTCCACTAAATCCAGCACAGCAGAAACAAGGAAGCTTGGAGTATGCAATTTTCACTTCTCTGCCAAGTTTATTTCTATCCTTCATAAAAAAGTAAAGCATCCTCCAAAAAAATTGAGGGCCCTAGAGTACTTATAAGTAATCGAAGTTGTGTTAACAAAGGAGAATACTAACTATAAAGGCTAAAAAATGAAATGCATGAGTGTGGCAGATGCTACAACTAGGCTTCCAGAAAGTTAACTAAGGGTCAGGCCCGCTCCAGACTGAGCCAAAATGAATGTGGGTTTGCGGAAGGAAAGTGGCCAGAGAAGTGGCCACCCTACTCAGGCCACGTCTGTGTTTGGGGCTCAGGAGGGGGGACTCACGACTTTCTCTATCAAAAAGCCCACGATCTTCTGTTTGAGGGAGAGCACAGAGTCCACCAGGCGGTTGAGTCCAGGGGCCTTGCTGGAAGAGAGAGGGAATGGGGTGAGCTACCAGAAGCTACAACTCTTCTGAGTATATCAGTGCTGGGACACAGAGACCCCTTGTGAAGACACAGCCTCTTCCAGGGTTCGTCTTAGAGCCCTGCATCTGAAGGGAGTGGGATGGCACAACCCGTCCCGACAAGACTCCCATCATAACCCATCCTTCTGGGTAATACTCATTTCTAGCACTTCCACAGGTGACAGACCACAGCTCAGCCTGGACCCAGAGATGAACCAAGCACAAACACCTACAAATTGATACCCAAACACTAGCACACCTTGCTGAGATGCACTCCTCCCCATCTTCAGGGTTCTGCTTATTGTCACCACCACCCACAGGTCCCATAAGAGAGGACTTTGATGCCCCAGTTCCCTCAGTGTACTGCTCTGCACAAGATTCCTCACAGTCTGACCTCTCCCTGGAGCCCCCTTTAGTAGAAGAACTCAGTGCACCTCCAGAGCCTTTCTCTGGACCATAAGCTCGAGGAGTGCAGGGGATAAGTCTGTTGCTACCAATAGTTTCTCCAGAGACTAATTCATTTTCTCCACATGGTACGAATTTCCAGATATAGAAATGAGGCTGGCATTCGGGTACTAAGCTCCTCTGATGCCCAGCTATCTGATGAATGGGCCTTACCCATCAAGCAGGACGAGCTTGAAGCTGGCTGGGTCACTCCTGCATTTTCCTTTCACCAATGTGGGGTTTTCAGATTCGAGATCTTCCACTCTGACAGAAGTCAGGAGGTCCAGGGACACTTCCAGGTTGACCAACCTTCCAACTAAAGGCCTGAACAAAGATTTCTGGTGAGCAGAAGGCTAGAAGGTCTCCAAGGTCCCACTTGCTTCTGCCCCAGGCTGCCTGTTTTCCCAGAGGTCCAAGAGCCACACCAGCAGTGTCCAGTTGTTGTGAGAGGAGCAGACTGACATTGTGGGCTGCCTCTCCTGGCCAGGAGGGTCAGGTTCATGTCAACTTCTAGAACTTTAGCCCAATAATTAAAATACTGTGAATTAATGATGCAGTAAAAAAGGATGCTTGGAGTACTTAAAAAGAGTTTTAGGCAAAACACTAGAGATTATAGTAAGACCATGAGGAAAATGTATTATTATCATTATTATTAATCCCTATCTTTAAATGATCAACCATGTGGTACAGCATTGAGTAATGATCTCTATGATTCTTAGCTAAAGAATAGAGATGACATATTATGCTCATCCATTGATTAAGATAGTATGACTCCTGCTCATTTTCTTTACTCTCTTAAAGGACTTTCAAGTTACATTTTTTATATATGCTACTTATGTGTGTTCTACCAGCCTGTACACAAGTGACTGCATGGATCTAGAACTCCTCTATTCCTTAGAGGGAGTCTCAGGAGACAAAAAAACTTATGGAGGCAACTGCCTGAGTATAACTTGCTCATGTTCTCTCAATTCTTCTTACTTTATTTACAGCACAGGATTTCTCGTAGAGAGAATTGGCTATGGCCTGAGATGCTGAGAACAAGTTAATGATAAGAATTTGTGGCTGGAAAAGTAACCGGTGATTCATGAGGCTGAGGACCAGAGTTTGTAAGCAGTGTGTGAGGATTCGCTTGGAGCCCGTCAGCAGGACACATTCCCTTTCTCAGACCCCAGAATGGAAACGTAAACTCACAGGGCCACGTTGACGTTAGCTTTGATGGGGAACCTCAGGTCCATGCTGTTGTCCTTAGGGTTCACTTCCAGCTTCACATCCAGGATTTGAACTCCAGTGAGTTCCGCTCTATACAAATCCCACAGTGGATGGGTGAGGAGAGAGATCAACAGAATGAACTCAGTCTTTGAATGCAGGAGACCCCGTTTTACTATTCAGCACTGCAAGGTCCACCAATCACTGTCAGAAGTGGTCCCTGAAGACCAAGAGGGAAACCTTGGGGACCATTGGCTGGCGCCCCGAAACCAAACCAAAACTGACTGTATATTAGAGCGAGCTCTGTGCCCTGAGCTTGGCTTCCTCTCTCATGGGTTTGGGAGAGAATAAATCTTTCCCCTCAGCTGTATGTGGAGAAGAAACATCTGAGTCCTTGGGAAAGGAACTCAAGCACCAGCAAACTGGTGTTGATGGCAGTGAAGAGAAACTTCAGACAATGGTAAAATGACACAGCATGAGTCCTCAACCCATGGACCCAGTGGTGCTACACCGACCACTGATATTCTCAGGTCTCTGCGGAATCTGTCTTACAATCTGATTTCTGCAGGGAGAGACTACCTTAATCCACTGCACAGTTTGAGTTGCCTCACTGCCCCACATATGGAGTCCCATACCAACTCACCCCAGAGCTCCAATATCAGAGATGACATTGCCCAGAAAGGTCTTGGTTCCCTGGACAGTATTTGTGATCCCTTTCCAAACACTGGATTTCTGAATTTTGTTCAACTCAGCCCGAAGTGTCTGAGTAAGAGCTGGGGAAAACAATCTGCATTTAGTATTACAGACATACCACATGGGAACCAGCAAACTCATGCCTGCTCTAGATGAGACTGTGGCTCATGTCTGTGGCTTAATCTTCTGAGCAACTACTTGAGGTAAGGGTTGTTCTTTCCTCTACTTTCAGATGAGGAAGAAAAGCATGCAAGGTTAAGAGTGGAACTAGAGTCACATGCTTGCAGCCCTTACATGTTCTATGCTGCCTTCAAAGAGACATATACTCCTTACTCATCTCTACAACTGGAGCATCTGAGAGGCTGATTGTACAGCACCCTCGAAAGAGAGACGCCGGGTAAGGCGTTTGCCTTGCACGAGGCCAACCCGGGTTCGATTCCCAGCATCCCATATGGTCCCCCGAGCACCACCAGGAGTGATTCCTGAGTGCAAAACCAGGAGTAACCCCTGACCATCGAGCATCGCCAGGTGTGACCCAAAAAGAAAATAAATAAATAAATAAATAAATAAAATCTCAAGCACATATTCTGCCTAATCCCATAAGTTATTTGTGCTGGCATGGCTAAGTATACGTGATGCCCGAGTACATGTTTCACTAATAAAAATTTAAAAAAAGAATCAGCATATACTATCGCCACATAATGTAACAGATATATAAGACAGCCTAAAGCATAATCATTTATAATTATAGATAAATTTAGTAAGAAATAGTTGTTCTTAAAGAAAAAAATAAAGCATTTGCAAACTAAAAAATTTACATATACAGCAAGTTCTGTCAGTGCTAGGAGACAAAATGAAGTGAGCTACAATCTTTCATTGATGAGATTGCAGAACATTTAAATTGCCATAGTGGTATTGTTGAGGAAGTGATACTTTAAAGGCACCGTCCCAGAGTCTGGCAAAAATATGGACATAAGGAGTCCCAGCATCTCTTAAAGCAACCCTCAGGAAAAAGTCAGGGAGTAGGGCTGAGTACTATTCATCAGCATCTACCAGAATTAAAAATGTGTGTTCCTTGATTCAGGGAGCTAGGACAAGAGGGAGGCGCTTGCTTGCCTTGTGTGCCAATGCCTCCATTGCAGCCCTGGTTTGAATTCTATATGCCACACCTGGTCTCTGAGACCTGCCAGGATCACTGCTCAGTATGGAGCCAGGAGGAGCCTCTAAGCCCACAGGCTTTGACCCAAAATCCACAAATACAAACATTTTTAAAGTTTTTATTGAACCTTAAAAGTCTAAGAATTTATGAAAGTTTAGAAATTCATCCTATGCATGTATTGAGAAATGTTATCATATAATGTTAAGGGATATTTACTGATCACTGCTTATTTCAGGAAAATGAACCAGGAGTGCAAACTCTCTATAAACCCATAACAAACTACTGAAAGTGGTTTTTGGAAACCTCCTGGGGAGTGTGTGGTAATGAGGCAGAGGATTTTGGAACTGGCAGTTAGTCAACCCTGAGGAGTTTACTTACATCCAAGTCCTTCCTGAACTTGTCCAAGTTCCACATTTTCCAGCACACCAGTCTTCTCTGGAAAAAGACAAGTATAGCATTAAAGGATATTTGTTACTCATTGCTTATTTCAGGGAAATAAGTGAATGAAGCAGGAATTCAAACAACCCAAAAAATAACCAGCTTTGGAGCACCCCCTGGAAAAGTCTATAGCAATGCAAGGTTAGAGTTGAGGAGACTGGCACTTAGGAACCAGCCATGAAGGGTTAACTTACGTTCCAATGCACCACTAAGTCCTTCCTGAACAAAGTCCTGATGCTGAATTCCCACAAGTTGAGACTGGGAGGTCCCGGCCAGCAAGCCGCACAAGAGAACCAATTTCCACATCTTGTCCTAGGAAAAGGGATCTAGAATAAACACCTGTCACTCTTCCCCTGAACATTCCTTCCAGAGGGTTGTGATGATCGTCTAGTTTACAAATGCCCAGCCCAGGGTTGAGAGCTGGAAGCCAACCTGCCCAAAGACACAGAGCCTGAGACAGAACTTGTGATATGGAGACTGCACCTGATTCCATGTCTGTCCAAGAGGTCCTGGGGCCTACTGGCTTTTGTGCCTGCAGCTTTCCTCTTCTTCATGTTCCCACCGGGGCCCTTCCCAAGAACTCTCCCTCTTCAGTGGTGCACTAGGTACTCTAAACGCCGACTCCAGACCCCTACCCAGAGTCCAGGTTGTGAGGAACCCGACCCCCTCTGGCTTTCTTTGTTCTCCTCGAAAACTTTAATAATCAATTTGTGATGCCTTTTGGGGTGTCTGCCTTCCTCTCCAGGCTGGGACCTCCCTCCATAGAGGCACCCCATGATATCCCTCTGCTGAAACACAGCACCCAAGTAAATAGCCTGTTCCTAGCAACGTGCATCAGAGAAGTATACACTGTACAGCGATATGATCATGAAGTGTGCACCATGCCCTTCACTCTCATACCCGTTGACACTTACAGCTGATTGATCATCTGATTTGCTATCTTCAAAATTTCAGTGAACCCAATAGCACCATCTCTCTGAGTCTTGCCCACAAAGTATGCTGCAGACCAGCATATGAGGAGACATCAGGGATCAACTTACCACTCACAGGTCAGGAGGAGGATGCTAAGGAAGCCTTGCTCCACTGCACAGCACAGTCTCTGTGAGTCAGCCTGGTGGAGGAGGCCCTTTTATCACAGAAAGACCATGGGAGGGTCCCCAGGGACTTAATCCCTGGTTCTTGGATGACACAAGGACACTCCTAAGAAAATAATCCCAGGATGAGCAAAGATGTTTTCAAACCTAAGGCCACCCGGATATTTGGGTTGGAATTGATGGACATGGAGAAGACTCTGCCAAAACTAAAGCCTGGTATCCTTGGAGTGTCCAGGACAATGACCTTTGGATGGGCTCTGGAGCAAACAATCAGAGACTCTTTCCAGTGGGAAGATCCATAGCGATCATTCTGTCATCACTTGGAAGTGGGATGTAAAGATGGCAAACAATCTGTGCGAAGCCAGCAGCTGGACAATAAGAGCAAGAACATGACCTCCAGTGGCATGACTGTGTATTGGCCACCAGCAAAGTCACTGACTCTCCACTGAGGACTTGGGGATCCCCTCAGAATCTCTTTCATGCAACCAGCCTCAGTACAGATGTTTCAATGGTGGGGAGCTCACTACACTCCAAAGGTTTTCTGTCCCATCTGATTGAATAAAAGTCCTCCTGAATGTAAACCGAACCAACCTCATTGCCCCCATCCATTTTAGTGACAAAGACACTCGAGGTGAACAGCCCTGGAGGCTGCAGCAATAGCACAACAGGTAGGACGTTTACTTTGCACGTGGTCAGGTTCGATTCTCAGCATCCAATATGGTCCCCTGAGCACTGACAGGGATAATTCCTGAATGCAGAGCCAGGAGTCATCCCTGTGCATCTCCGGGTGTAACCCAAAAAATTTTAAAAAAAAGGTGAACAGGCCTGAGACTCACATGGATTGTGAGACAAAGAGACAAGGAGCTGCCTCCCTGGTCGCTCTCCACCACTGGCCCCCATGTGCAGGCAAGAGTGGACTTTATCCACTCAAATCTCTCCGTGGACCCAGGGAGTCGGTCCTTTGCTCACTCACATCTATCCCAACTCCCAGTCGCCATCTCCTCCCCAGCCTCATTCTTCTTCTTTCCCAGGATAATGTCACACAGGGATACCAACCTCTTCCCAGGCTTTGACCCTGCTTGGACTAGTCTATTCTCTCTCTCCTGCTGTCTCTGTCTGGCCATGTCACTTCCTCACACCCTCCCTGAATGCCCACTGAGGGGGTTCTCACACACTCTCTCCCTCGCTGGGCTCCATGCTGCTTCTCTCACAGAAAAACATCCCAATTTGACTGTCTTACTCATTCTCTGCAACTTGTTTCAGTCTTTGTTCTGAGTTTTCTCTTGTGGGCCCTCAAAACCCTGACATATCTTCAGAATGTTTGAATGCTCCTTCTCTGGCTTGTCATATAAAGTCAGTCATCAGTTGAGAAAGCTGTCAACAGAAATACCTGGAATTGAACTCTGTGACTAGTGTCAATCTATTGTTTGATTTGGAGGGCTGTGAGAATATTTTTAGCTTCTTTGGTCTGATGTTCAAAGACTATGATTTCTCTTTAAAATATAAGAGCAATACATTTCCTCCTCTGCTTTTCTTTCTCCCTGAGTCCATCTGTCCCACAGGATATGGTTCCCTCAGACTTCCTATCTCTTCCTTCTCTCCTCCAACCCACCCAGTTCCTTGTTCTGCTCCTCCTGGAGCAGGG